GACAGAGTCCAAGGTGAACGTTGTTGTTTGGTTTGGTTTGGGTCTCCTAAAGAAGAAGTGTTAATAACTAACCAGAGGTACTATTTTTTACTTGTATTGATTCATATTTTTATTTTATTATAAACATTTTAATTGGAATCAAAACGCGGAGCAGATCTTGTTGGGTAATTACAAGATTTTCATTGATAATATTTTACTTTTTGTAATCATTAATATTAATAATATTAATATTAATATATAATCACAAGAAGATGTCAAGGCAGCACACCATTGAAAAAGAAACATTTCGATATGCGATGTTTGATTATCGGAAATTGGCAAACGTTGAAGCACGCACGCATGCTACCTTGAACACTTTACAGTCATTCTCACACGTTCCTCGTGTACACAAGGCTAATCTGACCTGATTGATCGATGATACAATGATGCTACAGAATTCCAGGGGTATTGCGTGGCTCTGGAGTTTATCGAGACTGCATCAATCATCAATGATGTTTTCACTAATCTTCCCAGACCAGAGATGGCTGCTGGCACGCTGGTTGAAAAGTTACTTGCAATGATCCCACCTCTAGGGTAAGGATGGCACTGTGACCAAGCTGTCACAACTCTGCTGATGAATTGTAGTGCCATGTAAATATCCAGATCCATTGAAGCAACAAGAATTTGCAACTTGTTTCAAGCACAGGAGGTCACAATTCAGAGCAGGGTTGGTGGCCCTGAAATTGCATTTGGGTTCTGATGTTAAGAGGAAAGTTGTAAAATAGTGTTTGTTTTGTATAATCATTTTCATAAACGCTCTGTTTCTCTGATACTAACCAATTTATAATTTTGGGTAGGGACTGGATTGGTTTTTGCCCTGTTATATAGTTTAAAATTATTGCATGATCATATACATCCTTGCCAGCAATATGGCCAACAAGAAAAAAGCCATAAAAATGGTTCGGATTTTGTTTGGTATGTTTTGTTATAAATTAAACATTTTCCCAAATACTCTGCTTTTCTTTAATTTTTGTCTGACCAACTGAATTTGTTATTTTAGTAAATGGGGGTAGGGTTGTTGGTGAGTAGGCATGCCACTGACAAGACAGGGGACGCCTTTGGGATATACCAGCCAAACTCATAGAAAGGGATCTTTTGTCCAGACTTAGGGTCACATGGATGTTAAGCACAGAAAATGTACACTATCAATGTATATTTTTTTCAACAAAATAAACATTTAAATAATTAATTGTTAAATATTAATACTTTTCTTTTCATAAAAATTACAGCAACCCAGGACTCAAAACTCTGAATTCAGGGAAAATCCAAAACAGCAATCCAGGTTGCAACCTCCCGAGTTGGAGAATTTTCAAGCCAGTCTTAACACCAACTTTTATGCTAGTGTGGCAATAACATGCAGCAATCATCACACAAGCACCAGCCATCGTCAGCAATCAATGCTATATGGTAATAGCCAAGCCTGGTCTGAGAGGGATAAGGAAAAGTTTTGTCCAAGCCTTTCGACATGTAAGTGTCCCGCCTGTGGAAAAAATTCCATAGGGATGGGATGGTGTGAAAGCACCCGTTTGCAATTGTTGGTGACAGGAAAATTTTGATTAAATCTGACACCTGCAATCAATATCAGATTTATTATTCATGAGCAATCATAATTGATAATCAGGAAAAATAATTTATTATTGTGAATCCCAGAGATCTGGGTAGACACGCATTATTAAAAGTTTCATTCATGCATGGCCTTGGTATCATTACTACCTGGGTGATGCAATTGTTTGTTATGTCAATTATAACATCAAATGTATTGAATAATAACCATGACCATCATGAATATTTGTTGGATGGAGGCATTCACATACAAATAGCTAAGTCATGTTTGTTTTATTAAAGATATATATAATTATATTTAAAAAGTAATTATTTTTATTCCACTCTTACAATGAAAGGTATTATTCTGAAATCATTTGTTTATTTAGCATTAATGATTGAATCAATCACACAGGTGGTAGTCAATTTAAATGGCATTCATTTTTTTAAATGAAATGATATTATTTTAAATGTATAAAATTTTTTTATAATAATGATTTTTAATATTGTAAAATCTTTTTTTGATAAATGTAAATCTTTATTAATTTGCAGATCATCTATCAACCAGGGAATTTTTTTATAAAATCATAGGGGCTAATTTCATAGTAAATTTACTATTATTCAAAATGGCGGCTTTGTCACAAATCCAACATACAAAAAACAAAGAACACATTTATTATATATGTGGGTTGTTCCTTTATGATCTGTTTTCAACAAAATGGCAAACTTCACCGATATAAAAACACCCAACTCATCACATATAACGTCTTATACTCTTTAAAGGATTTTTATTTATTTAAAAAATTATAAAAAAACAATAACAACAACATGGAAAAACGATCGACATAAGCAATTTTGTATATAAAATATTAACCCAAAACTTCGAAATGGCGACCTTGTACATAGCTTTCTTTTATTTCTAACAAATTTTTTTTTTGATTTTCATGTTTTTTCACATTTATTCTATTGTTTTGCATAAAATTTGGTGTGATATAAATTTTGTATGTTGTATAACTATTTCATAATAATAAACACAGTCCTCAATTAGTAAACATGCCCCAAAATTTTATATGTAAATCCCCTGCTTCATACACGTTTCACCAATTAATATTAATAAAAAAATCAGAAACATGAAATTTTTGCACATAGTTATTTTTCATGGGGCCAATTGACCAAATTTTTCAATTTCTCTTCATAAATTATTGAACAACCATATTTTTTAAATCATTTACTTAAACCTATTCCACTGATTCATATAAGATTAATACCATTCATATACTCGAATTTTAAACCAATTATAAAAAAACTTACAAAGTGAACATAAAATTATAAAATTATATATATAGGGATAAGTGTATATGAAAAGTATTAACAAAGATAACAAATACAATGGTTATAATGAATATCAAAAGGCCATTGATTTTTTAGAAAAAGGCTGTGGTTGTAGATGCTCTTCAAGAATTCCCAAGGAACAATTTGCAGAATTAAGGGAATCTTTTCAAGCTCTTTCCAAGTCTGAACAGGACATATTTTTAATGGCCCAGTTAAAAGCAATGGATGGTGGGTCAATAAGCAGCAGTAGATGCCTTAAGAAGAAAATTAGATCTAATAAAAGAACATTATATCATTGAGATCACAATACACTCCTTTGTCAAGAAACTTATCTCAATATGTTGGGAATTGGTAGGACATATTTTGAAAATATTAAAAATCATCCAATAAACAATGCCACCTGCCAAGAATTCATGGTAATATTTAAAGGATGCCTCAATGGAAAACTAAGATGATGATTGATAAAAATGTTGCTGCAGTAGTAAAAAATTTTCTGGAAAATATGCTGAAGTTCATGGATTACCAAGTCCAGGAAGAAGTATCAATAGAATAACTCAATCAGTTACATTCTTACCAGCTGAAATGAGTTATAAATCAGTGCACAGGGATTTTCTAACTGGTCTGGAAGAAGTTAGTAATTTGAAATCCTTAAAATATGATGCCTTCAGAAAGTTATGACATCAATTGACACCAGAGATTCAAATTATGGGTCCAAGGACTGACTTGTGTGATACTTGTCAGCATTTTAGAGATTGTTTACATTATAATGCTTGTCAGGAGGAAGAAGCCAAAGAATTACTCAAAAGATTTAAAGAACATCTGTCCAAGGTAAAATTAAAAATAAATTATTATAATAAAAATACCAAATTAGCAGAAGAACAAAGAAAAATGATTAATCAAAATTATTCAAATGGTAAAACACAATATTGCAGCATTGATGCTACTGCTCATTATAGTTATGATTGAGCCCAAAATGTTCATGTACCACATTCTGATCAGCAAGTAAGTAAAATTTATTACCTTAGTCCATGTAAAGTTCATTTATTTGGTATTCAAGATGAAGCAGTAAGGGAACAAATTAATTATGTTCTTAATGAAGATGAAATTATAGGAAAAGGTCCTAATGGCACTCTTAGTATGATTTTTGATGGAATTAAGAAATTAAATAAAGGTGAAAAGTATTTAAAGATTACTTGTGATAATGCTGGGGGACAAAATAAAAATAATGTAACAATTTGGTTTTATTTATATTTGGGGCATCTGTAACAAAACCAGACAAAGTGAACATTGGTATTACCAAAAATTTCAGGGATCAAAATTTAGTAATGTGATTATTAAAATCTCCCATTTGTTATCTCAAGTGATATATAGAATTACTCCTAGATAAAAATAATTAATATGAAATTCATTTATATCAGATCTACCATGGAACCCAAGAATTACAGCACCATTATTACACTATGTCATGCAGAATTATAGGATTTAATTAATGATAATTCTAAAAACCAAATGTAGATTCTTTATCATGAACAGTGTTGGAAATTCGTCGATCTTATGATCTGCAAAAAAAAATTTGTGCACATATGAACACAAGAAATTTTTATTTA